AGAACTCGTTGGGACTCTCGTAGAGATCGGATATCAACTGTTCCTTAACTGTCGTCAAATCCATGGGTGTGTCGATCACCTGCGAGTAGTCCGGGTATTGGATTGGATCCACGGGTGACCGGAATGGTGATGAGTCTTCGCGTTCGAGAATGTAATTCAATAATTCGAGACAATTCTGTTTCCACGTGCGGGGACGGTATGATTGGTCGGCGCCCGACGTTTTCAGTCGTTTGTGACGTCTTGAAGACATCTCTTCGGAGGCGGCGCTCTCATCAGAATTCAAACGCTATATATTCATAGACATAGTCATTACGATCACAATTGAAGCCACCATTGGGTCACAAATGTCTTACCCGTCGCTTATGTCTGAGTGAACGGCGCATCTCTTGACCGGAGGTCCTGTCGTCCTCCTCAGCGCTGTCCTCGTGCTCTGAGGGCACGGGTTCTTCAAATTGATCACAATTGGCGATCAGATCCAAGTAGATGGGCATCGGATCGTCGCAATCGCGCGCGTCGATGAATCGTATGATCAAAGCGGCGATCAGTTTGGCTTTCTTAACGATATCACTGCCCGGCTCATTGAACTGACCCGCATTGGACTCTATGAACGTCGTGTCGTGTTTAATGGCGTCCACTCGTCGGTAGAAGTTGTTCTCCAGCCTCTGTCTGATGGTCGACAAGTCCATGGGGTATGAGATCATCATTCCGTACACCGGATGCTGATTGAGATCGACCGGCACTAAGAAGTCTTCGGCATNTATGAGATCATCATTCCGTACACCGGATGCTGATTGAGATCGACCGGCACTAAGAAGTCTTCGGCATGCGATGACTCCATTATTTTGAGAAAACCTAACATAACACACCATTCATTGCATTAGTCATCGCGTTATCAACACACCTGTCATCGGAGGTAACCAATTAGACAATTGACTCACCAGTTAGTATCCGCTGACACTCCACTTCTTGGCCACATTCGGGCCAATCCTCGTCGTTGAAGAAGTTAAACAACCGCTTCTCCTCGTCGGTGATGAGCGCACTCTGTGTCCTATCGTCGGGCACTGTTTCGTGATTAATGGGCTCCAAATCCCACGGACTCAGGGACTCTGTGTCGCCGTTAGCCCACAACACGTCGAAACACTGGAATTGAGTGAAGGGTTGGCTCTCTTTGAGGCACGTTATGCACCCGAACCACCAGTTGTCGTCTATGATAGACCTGAACTCGTCGCCCACCTGCCAGTTCCGCTCCACCGACAGGTCGTACAACTGTCTCAACACTATGAAGTCCACCACATTCTCCACGTCGTGGTAGCGGACCATGAAGTGGGCATTCGTTGGCTCAAAGGTCTCGATGTCGAGCACAACCAGCTTAAGGGTCACGAGTCGCGGGGGTTTCACATCGTATTTAATGTCCTCTATTCTGGCGAACACCTCATCCCTCTGAGAGGCCCTCTGTTTGAATGGCTTTATAGTGGGACTAATGGTGTAGATCTTGTTTTCGCGCACTTTGTCGATGTAGTGCTGGTGTCCCGACCGAAAGTACACCACTTCGTCGCCCGGTTGAGGAAAGTATGGCGTCTTCTTCGGGTGAACGTCTGTGAACCAGTCTATCAGTCATAACAGACATACCATTCAGACATTCAATTCATACCAAACCATTCGTAAATGCAGTCATAGAAACACGACTTACCCGGAGGTCTGAAGTCATCGGGAAGTTCTTTAATCGAGTTGTACTTCTCCTCCAACTGTTGTCTTTTCATTCGTTCCTTCATTTTCTTCTCCTCCTTC